CCAATGGCGGTGGTGCAAATATGGTCCACGGGATCGGCCCCTCCGTTGCACTCAGAAGATACCTAGGCTGAGATGAACGACTGATTCCTGCAGGAGGAATCTGAAATGTAGTATTGCTCATGATAAATATGTCAACCTGGTTCAATGGTTGAACACCTTCATCAAACTGCATCCTCAACGTGGCATCTTGCCAAGAAAATGAAATATTCCGAGATGTTTGGTAGACAAAGCTTGATGAAAAATTGCCGTCAAACGAAGGTGAGTACAGCAAAAAAGGAAAATCGACCAACAAAACGTCATCACGTTTCAAAGCCATAGCAGGTTTCATGCGCAATATGATGTTCGTGAATCTGCCGGCTATTGCAGGATCATACAACAGCTCAGATTGTACAAAGTGTCCTACAGGCTGGACCAATGAGATGCTCGTTGGCAAGATGGGCCCCTGCCGTGCATTGGTGCTCAGTTTCAGACTGCTTTGATTGACCCGTACTCCGTCCAAAGGCAACCGTATCATTGCGTCACGCAGAACAGTAACATTGCACAGTGTCCCCGCTGTGATGTTTTCCCCAGCCGTGAAAATGAGTGACTGCGAAGATGCTTGCCAGCTCGCTGCCGAAAACTCAACACTGGAAAAAACAACGGGGACTTGGCGCTCCTGCTGGAAGCCAGGAAGATGGAGAGTCACAACCTCCCCGATGAAGATTGACATACTGGCTCGGAATCTCAACAACAAAGTGCTGACCTCTGCTGCAGAAGCGTTGTGATCAAAAGCGAGGCTGCTGGAGTCGAGGAGGAGAGGAGGACGAGGAGATGGTATGCGAGCTAATACCACCACCACCACCTCCTCCTCCAGCAGCAGCAGCAGCAAGGTGGTCATGAGGAGGAGGAGGGGGGGCTGGAGAGAAGAGGAGAAAGATGAGGTAAAGACAGCCGAAGGAGGAGGAGGTTAAAGCGGGAGCGGGAGCAGGAGCAGGAGCAGGAGCAGGAGCAGGAGCAGGAGCAGGAGCAGGAGCAGGAGCAGGAAAGCTCCACTCACATCGATGTTCCTCTTAATGTCTGGGCAGGAGGGAACAAACCTGCCCGCAAGGTGCTCGAGAACCTTAAGAAACGAGTTAGGAGGAGAAGAGAGAGAGAAGGCAACGAGAAATAGGCCAAACTGCACATGAGAAATGGGAGGGGAGGAAGGGAGAAGATGGGAGGAGGGACAAAGACGGGACCGGACGGCGAGTCAAGGTTACGCCAGGGTAGGAGAGCAGAAGGAGAGAAAAGGGGGGAGGAGGACGAGAGCAGGAGCGGCAGAGAACAGCAGGAGCAGGAGCAGGAGCAGGAGCAGGAGCAGGAGCAGGAGCAGGAGCAGGAGGATACTTTTCACCTCCTTTGTGAGATCATTGTGCGAGAGTATCTTTCGATGCTTCATGATCCTGACGATCACAGCCTGCTGCATCTTCAGACCTTCCCGCCTCCCCCCCCCCTCGCCCTCCACCCGGCTTACATTCTTCTTCCCTTCCTCCGCATCCCCCTCCTTCCTCCTCCTCTCGCGAACCCTTCCTCTCCTCTACCGCCTCTCCGCACCCTTCCCTCTCCACTCTCCCCTCCCTTTCCTCTCCTCTCTCCTCCCCTCTCACCTATACCTTCTCCTCCCCCGCTCCCCCTTCCCACCTCTCCCTCGAATCCTCACCTGAATCTGCGGGTTCCTGTCCTGAGGGAGCTCCTCTGCAGCCGCGTTGCTGGCTTCCTCCTGCCTCCTCGTCAGCAGGAGACCAGCAGGTGATGCCGTGCTGACCTTCTTCCCCATGGCCATGTGAGGAACGATCCTCACTCTCGTCTTCTTGTTGCTGTATTTGTCGTTCACCAGCATCTTCATCTCCTCCCTCCTCCTCTCCGACCCTTCCGACTCCTCCCCGCTCCGATCTAGCACACAAGAGTCAAGCCCACTTCACCTCCTCAGCTCTTCTCCTCGCCCCTTTCCCCCGCTTCTCCTCCCCTCCTCCCTTCCTCCCTCGCTCCCTCCCTCCTTCCCCATCCCTTGCCCGCAGTCTCACCTCCCTCCTCTGTGCCTGCAGCGTCCGACGTCTTGACCTGCAGGAGGAGCTTGGACTTGGCAAGCGACCGCAGCACCTGATCGAGCTCCTCCTCCTCGAAGCCGGTCATCGTCAGGAGCTCCGGGAAGGAGAGGGAGGGGGCAGTGTTGAAGGCCATCAGCACGCAGAGCTGCGCCATGCTCACGGAGAACTCGTACGTCCTCGAGAAGAACCCGCGAACTTCGGCCTTGCCCAGCTGCAGCATCCAAGACAGCCTCCTTCCCTTGTACTTGCTCCCGTAAAACACCTCGAACGTCTCGATCCCCTGCCGCAGGCAGTCGGGAATGGGGATGGGGGAGGGGATGGCGATGGGCCAGGTCCCGGCAGTGAGGAGGAGCACATGCATGCCGCAGACGCTCGTGTCGGCATCGTAGTCGTCGTAGAAGTCGTCCTCCAGCTCCTTGCTCCTCACCTTGTCCGCCAGCATCCTCTGCAGACGGGAGATGAAGTCAGGGGAGCAGACTGACCGCAGGGAATCGTTCATGAACTCCTCCGCCTCCTGCGAGATCGACGAATCCAGGATCAGCCGCTGTGCGTACAGTCTGACGTAGTTCTCCTGAAAGATGTCCTTGTCAAGCACGTACTTGAGGCAGGTCACAACGTCCGTCATCGCGGAGACGGTGTCGCATCCTATCCCGCGCTCGCGGGCCCCGTGCTTGTCCAGCACGGAGTGCGCATGCTGGGCGAGCAGCAGCGCGCAGCTCTTGATGGAGTTGACGACGACGACCAGCGCCTTTGCCACGGCGTTGAGGAACTCGGCGTCATCCTCGAGGCTGTCGTGCACGAGGGTGTAGTAGTACTCCAGTCGCTCCGTGAAGGTCGACAGGAACATGCTTGGATCGATACCCTGCCTGCCCTCCCCATCCTCTCCCTCCTCCAGCGCCGCCATCGCCGCCGTCCCTTCCCTTGAGATGAGCTCAAAGAGGCTCGTTCTCCCCCCGTCCAGTGCCCCGTCTACCCTCCTTAGCAGCGCGTACAGCCGCCAGAGCTGCTCGCGCATGTCGTCCTGCAGCAGGAGAGCCTCGAAGATGGACTGTAGCCAAGGCTTCTGCTCCTCGATGAAGGCCCTCTCGCAGGCCATGCAGAGCTCTGGCAGCGTCTCAGGGAGGAGGAAGCGCGAGGCCGCAGCCAGCTCCGACGATATGCTCTCGTGCGCCCTGAGCGCGTATGCGTCAAAGTCTTGGGCCGCCATCAACTCCAGCGCCTCCTGCGAGTAGAACTGGAAGGTCAGCTGGACAAAGGGGCCCGCAAAGTCCGAGTCATACACCCTCCCGCTGTCGGGCCGGCAGCCCAGCTCCCTGTATACCCCGAGGATCTCCCGGATCAAGCTGAACTCCAACAGGGCTCCCTTCCTGCCTTCACAGATATGGCTCCACATCGCCTCGAGCATCTGTTGCGCTACCGGGATGACCTGCACGTTGTCCCGCCACACCGCCGTCCCCATCTCAAGGACGCTCGGGTACACTCCGTCCTCCGGTATCAGCCCCTCCTGGCAGTGGGACCTGATCCAAAACCTGTTGAGGTAGTCGAAGATGGCGTTGACACACCGCAAGCCGATGGCGAAGTTCTTCCACTTGGCGAGGTAGAGCGGCAGCAGGTTGCTCGACACCAGCAGCTCCCTGGCAATCTGCTTGCACACTCTCTCCAGGCATCCCTTCAGCTCGTAGTAGAGGCGGTCCGCGAGAGGCTTCCCCTCCCTGCCTTGCGGTATGGTGCAGATCTTGTAGATGTACGTGTGACACTGGACGAACTTCTGGTTGGAGATCCCGACTGTGGGGTCTGTGACCAGCCTGCTCACTTCACTCTGCAGGAGCTTCCAGGTTGTATCGAAGTCCAGCGGCCTTGCGTTGAGCAGCGACATCAGAATGTGGTTCAAGTGAGCATTATAGGAGAGAGACGAAGGTCAAGAACATGAGCCTTCCCGCTGAACAAGAGATTGCGACGGGCCTGAATCGATAGTAAGATATGATGAGAGCAACGTTGCCTGCAATGGAATCGGTAGGAGTAAATCCCAACAACAATAGTATCGAGTGAGTATGTTACAGAATAGAAAAGCAATCACTGATGTCAAGCATGGACACAGCTTCGGAGAAATGATCTTCTTCTTTCCCTTCTCCCTCCATCAAGGACTTATAGGAAGCATCACAGACAGGATCAATAATGAGATGATAGGCATGAAGGCATCTGTGCGACCTCTTTGTTGCTTCTGCTCCTGCTCTTGCTCCTCACCCTCTTCCTCTTCCTCTCCCCTCCCCTGATCATCTTATCTCTCTCGATGGTTCCATCTTGTCGCTCCCTCTCCCCTTCCCCCTCCCACTCCCTCTCCCTCTCCCTCTCCCTCCCTCCTCCACCTCCTACACCCAGTTGCATTTTCGCACCTTTGTGGTACAAATATCACCCCTACCCCCATATATCAAGGAAAATGTACCCCTACTGAACAAAGTCGATACAATCCGCGCAGATGGTTGACCAGAGAACCAGTCACATCTCGTTACATATCTGTAACACTCAACTGACTTAACGTTACGTAGCTGCAACGTTTTTGCTCTGGTTCTGTGAGGTATGGGAGAGGGTAGGGGTGGGTACTGATAGTAGGGGTCATTTTGAGACTATTTGATGGATTTGTCATTGGTAGGTGGTATACCCCCATGTGAGAGGGGGGGTGGGGGATACAAAGTTTGTCGAACAGACATGGGGAGGGAAAGAGGGGGGAGAGAGGAAGGGGGAGAGAGGAGGGGGGGGGAGGAGGAGGGAGAGAGGAGGGGGAGAGAGGAGGGAGGGAAGGTGAGGGCAGGACAGGAACGATATGACAGCAGAGGATTGAGGACGAGAGACAGAAAGGGTTGAGGGCGCGAAGGGAAGCATGGGGTGAGGGAAGAATCGACCAGAACAATCAGCAGGACGAGGCAGGTCGGTGGGGGAAGGAGGGGTCAGAAGTGAATTAGAAAGATCAAGAAGCTCGTGAATGATTGTGAGTAGACTTTGTGAAGGTTTTTTTCGCAGAGTTGGGACATGAGGGTGGGGGACTGGGACTGCGTGAGAGTGAGGGGGGAGTAAGTGACAAAGGGTCGACCTGGAATGTCGACGTTCCTTCGAGCTTGAGATGCCATGTGCTGATTGTTGGCAGATGTTTGAACTTACACATCTTGGAGCTATGTTTCACAATGGTGAGAGCGCATGTGACGATCTGTGTCGATGACAGACTGACTTCAGGCCCCGTCCAACTGGCGGAGAGCTACGACACTGCATACCCCGGCATCTGCGACCCCATGCCAGGATGGAACGTCACCTGGAATCCTCCTGACTGCAACACTCAAGTAACGCCCGACGTGCGCGGGCTGATGCCTTCCGCTGCATGGCACCAAGCAGGAGGTACTCAGTCGCTGGTTACGGAGAGCTACGACACTGCATACCCCGGCATCTGCGACCCCATGCCAGGATGGAACGTTACCTGGAATCCTCCTGACTGCAACACTCAAGTAACGCCCGACGTGCGCGGGCTGATGCCTTCCGCTGCATGGCACCAGGTCGGCGGTACGACTGAAGCTCTTGCTGTACCTGCCATGATGAGCAACGAGGTCAGTCGAGCTCCTCGCACTCGCCCTCTCACCCTCGCTCAGGTTGCCCCCAAAGGCCCCACATCCAAGGCATCGCCCGGCCACCTCGTCCTATGCGGCCATGCCGCCCTCATGGGGGCGTGGATGGCCACCTCAGACGCTCTGGACCGCAAGGGAGAGAGCAACTGGTTCGACAACTTCAGGAAGCACACGCAAGCAGCGGCCAACGCTGTCACTCCGGTGGGAGGAAAGTTGTTGGAGACTCATGTGTTCAAGCAGGAGCAGTAGAGCAGCGAGAGACATCTGCTGTGCAGAAGTGCAGACCAACACGATTTACCGACAACAATAACTAAATAAATGTTTGCACTCCTTTACTTCTTGGCGTTCCAGGCAGCGTGATCGTAGGACCACTGGGTGAAGTAGAGGGGCTTGCCCTGAAGGTTGCAGTATGAGCACAAGGGTATTCGATGAAGGTGAACAACAGGAGGAGAAGGGAGCAGGGATGACGGAGACAAGACAAGAGCGTTCGGGGGTAGAAACACAGGAAGGAGAGGAGGAGGCGAGGCAAGCTCTTACCTCGGAGCGAGGAAGGGTCTCGGGCTTCTTCTTGAGGAGATCGGACATCTCGTCAAGGAAGGTGTGGCAAGCACCTGTGCAGTGACGTCAGTATGTCGCCCGGGGGGATGACAGGAGCAGACCATCGGAGTACATGGCGCCACATCCAGCGCGGGGGTCCTCCACGACGACCATGGAGTTCTTGGAGAAGAGCACGGGGGAGGCCTCGAAGCCGGCCTTGGAGAAGGGGAAGAAGGACTCGATGGTGGGAACCTTCTTCACGTTGCCAAATCCGGGCACCTGACCGCAGCCGTTAGCAAGGGAGGACGGGAGCTGGGAGGAGTGGTGACCTCGAGGTTAGAGAAGGACTGCTTGGAGAGGGAGCCTCCCTCCATGGAGTACATGCCAGCCTGGGAGATGGGCTGGAAGAGGAGGGCAGCCATGGCCAAGCTAACAGCGGCCTGCGGCAGCATGAGAACAAGCCTGTCAGGAGGCATGCGATCCTCTTACGTGCTTTCCGCCGAACTTCTCCCTGTGGCCTTCAGCGCGGGGTCCACGCATGCCAAGGAACTGGAGTTCAATGTTAGAAAAAGACAGGAGGTGCGGCGTGCAAGCTCACGGTCTGGGTAGCTGGCTCGGCAGCAAAGGCAGACTGTCCAGGGCGGAAGAAGTCGTTGGGGACTCCGGTGAAGCCCATGGAGCTGTCGCTGCCAGCAGCCGCAGCCTTGGCAGCAGCCTGGAAGGAGAGAGTCAGCATCGGGCCAACCCCTCACAACTTCACAATGACCTTCTTAGGAGCAGCCTTGGGCGCAGGGGCAGCAGCCGAAGCCTACAGGAGAGGGTCAGCTGGGAAGAGTAGGAGGGAGGATGGAGTCGTACAGCAGGAGCTCCCTCGATTCCCCACTGCTTCTTGTTGACCTCCAAGGCGTTGACCTTAGCCTTAGGGAGCTGCGATTAACTGTCAACAGCTCATCCGCTGAGTCAGAGGCAACTTACGGGAAGCTTGGCAGGAGGAGCAGCCTGGGCCATCTTGAGGGAGGTGAGCCCAGTGCTGTGAAGAAATTCGTGAGCACGACGATAGGAATCCTTCTAGGGACGAGCAAGGAGGAAGGCATGGAGAAAAGGCCATCATATCAAAGTTCCCAACATACGATCAGCAGCATCAGTCGAGAGATCATTCCTATCATGTGCACAGTGCTGCTTCTATCTAATGAAGCCTGACTTCATCTATGAGGAATTTCCCCTGTCACAGTACTTGGAGGGATTGGGGAAAGCTTTCAAACACATGACCTCAGAAACTCGTATCCTATACTCTTGCCTGCGCTACCCTCCTCTCTCCCCCTAGCCCCATCCCCCCTTTCGCTTCAGGGTTGAAGGCTGTTGAAACGAAAACAATGCTCCCTCAACAAGCGATGTGATCCACCGGCAAGCGCAGCTCCATCATCCCTTGCTTCAATTTCCACTCTACCCGACATTATTGTTGGAGCTACGAAAGCACAAGAACATGAATGCAAACAGCATGGCACACATGACAGGGCCGACGAAATTCATGGGAGAGCAAAGTAGTTTAAATACAAGGATATATGAGGAAGGAGAAGAAGAGGGAGAAGCATGTGACACAGTTGTTAAACGTAGCATTGAAAGGAGGACGATGGTGCATGTATGAACATGGGCACAGGCCATGGATATCAAGCAGGGAGGAACAAAGGGAAGGATCTCTTAATTGATCCCTCACATACCCGGATGGCACAGCAGGAGCGAACGCTGAGCATGCGGCGGCGCCGGCGGCAAGCAGGAGGGGAACGCGCATGGCGAAACTTGAAACAATTTCGCGACCGGAGCAGCTAAACCACCCCTACCCCCTACCCTACCCCTTCAATTCACAGGGATCAACACCGGTGTCATTGACCCCTACCCCTATGAATACTCATTTGGACCCCCTTCGTTGATATAAAATGACCCCTTTATTATTAATGTACCCACCCTACTTATGGCTGTAGAGGTTTTGCCCCACCACTACCCCTTCATTCAAAGGATCCTCACCGTTACCACCCCCCCTTGTCCGCCATCTTTACCCCCTTCTACACACTGCACCCCCCCCGTTTCCAGTGCCCACAATGACCCACCCTTGCTCAAGAGCCTGGAACCTTCCATCATGTACCCCTACCCCCTCTTGTCTCAGAATGAAGCTAGAGGGAATGTATCGTTACAGGGGGTACTGGAGAACCCCCACCCCTCCAGCCCCAGACTTTACACCCCTCATCCACCTAAGCGCGACCCGTAGGGCATTATGAGAAAATGTTATAAATTTATAGATAATTATACCAGTTCACAACAGTGTGCCCGGGTCGCCCGGGGCCGGCGGGCCGACACTGAGTCCGCGAGTCACCGGGCCGCCTCTGCCGACCGTCGACCGTAAAAAGCCTTGACGATGACCGTCACTGAGCTAGACTGCCACTGTGACCGTCCGACTGAGTCGCAATAGTTTCCGGGAAGCCTGCGGCCCTGAATGAGGCTGGTCACTGAGAGACTCGGCGAGTCCGGCGGGCCCCCGGGGCAGGAGTCCTAGGGCCTGATCTGATCCTCACTCCTTCAGAGTGTCTCCTCTCTCCTCCAAAGCGTCGAAGTCGATCGAGACCTCAGCGTTCATGTCCGGCGTCCACAGCTGATCCTCGGGAAGTTTGATCCTTGCGAGCTCGCGTGCCAGCGTGTCGTTGAAGCCTGACGACAGCCACTGTCTGCTCTCGCTGCTCATCGGAGCCGTGAAGACGAAGGCCTCTCCCTCTCTGCCGACCGCGTCCAGGAGGTGAGCGTAGAGGGTGGCATCCTGGAGCAGGAAGGTCAGGCCCTGAGGCCTGGGGCGCGAGGGGACGGGGAGCATCAAGAGAGGAGGAAGGGGAGGAGAGGAAAGGAGTGGGAGGGGGAGAGGGAGAGGATAGGAGGGGTTGGAAGCAAGTTGAGGGTTGAGAAGGAGACCTGGATCTTGAGGTTCGAGAAGATGTCGAGCATGGCAGCCGCGTCGCTGCCCGGCAGGTCTGGAGGACAGCAAGCGGTCACGGCAAGACGAAGGAGGAGGAAGAGAGAGTTACTGGGCTTGGAGAGAGAGAGAGCGGCTCGCGCGAAGTACTTGTACATGAACATGTCGTTTTGACTGCTTGCCGCATGAGATAACATGAAAAGATAGTGAGGGAGGGGGAAAGAGGGGAGAGGAGGAGAGGGGAAGAGAGATTTTGGTGGGGGAAGGGGAGGGAGGGTGCGTGGCGATAGGCGATTGAAGTTGATGAAGAGAGAATAGGGAGGAGGAGGATGGAAAGGGGGGATCAGAACCCAACGAGGGGCAGGGCAGGGACGAGGAAAGGAGAGGACGAGGACAAGGGGGATGTGGAAGTGAAGGCAAGGACGGAGATTGACAGGAGGAGGAAGAGGGAGGAGGAAGAGGGGGAGCAGGAAGGTAACCCGGTTTTGTAGAAACTTTTGAGGCATGTAGTTAAGGATGAAGCATCCCAGTATCTCTCGGGAAACTGCTGGGCGATTGCTGAGGGGGTGGTCAAGGAATTCAAAGCGAGGAGAAGGAGCAGGAGCAGGAGCAGGAGCAGGAGCAGGAGCAGGAGCAGGAGCAGGAGCAGGAGCAGGAGCAGGAGCAGGGATATGAAATAGGGAGAAGGGGAAGGAGGAGGGAGGACGAAGACGAGAAGGATGGAGGGTGACGAGAGAAGCAGGAAGGAGGAGCAACAACCAGCAACGTGCCAGAAGATGGACTCGTCGAAGATCATAGGGTCGCTGTAAACATCTGCAAGCGCCGCCAAGTCCCTGCATACCAAAGTCAAGGAGGTGCGGGGAGGAGAAGGTGGAGAGGAGGAGCAGGAAAGCAGAGCAGCGGAGAGGAGCGAGGGTAGGCGCAGTCGCAAGATTTGGACGAGCAGAGAGCAGGAGCAGGGACTAGGTGCAGGAGGCGCAGGGACCAGAAAAGAAGCAGAAGCGCGTGCAGGAGCGAGAAGAGGATCAGAAGGAGCAGGAGGAGGAGCAAGAAGTGGAAGAAAAGAGGAAGTGGTGGTGGTTGTGGTGATGGAGCAAAAGACTGCAAGAAAGGGGATGAAGAATGGGGCAGGCTGACCTGATGCTGAACTCGTGGATGGTGGGAGGGTCCTGATGAAAGGGACGAGTCGGCTTGATGTGCTGAACAGCCCGGGCGAGATGAGCGAAGAGGAGAGGTTGTGTGCGGATGAGGCCGAAGTGACGGGCTGCTGACAAGACTGCGACTACCCATGTCGGCATCCAGGCATACTCCTCGGTCTCGATGGCTCGCTGGGAGAGGAGGAGGAGGAGACTCTGGTCTTGCCAGTTCAGCTTCTCCAGCACCTCGAACATCTCGGAGATCGACCTGCTCCCTCCATCTCATCTGACGCAAGAGGACGAGAGCGAGGGAGGAGAGGGGGTAAGGGAGGGAGGAGACGAGGGAGGGAGGAGACGAGGGAGGGAGGAGACGAGGGAGGGAGGAGGAGAAGCGAGAAAGGGGCAAAGCAGATGGTAGGCAGGGGTTTGATGGGGAGAAGGAATACAAAGAGGAAGAGAGGAAGAGGGTGAGAAGGTGGTGTTGGTTCAAAGAGCGGAGGAACAGACCTGGGGCCCTGTGAGCTCATCTTTGCGGGAGACATGCCCTTGACCAGCTGGAAGTAGTAACTGTACCGCTCTTCCTTCCTCTCCACATCCCCAGCGTGAACGGAGCGGAGAATCATGGCGATCCCCTGGAGGTTGAACCCGCCCTTGGGCATGCTCTCGACCACTTGGAGGAGGCGGTTCAGGACCACTCGAGCACTCCGAGACTCATCCTGCAGCTTCGAGAAGCTCCTGCAGAGGAGGGAGATGGACTGCGGGGAGAAATCCTGTGGGCTCATGCGTGCCACTACCTGCCCCATCCTCTCGAAGAGGATCGAGCAGTCGATGACCTTGGCGAAGTGAACCTTTGCGAACGCATGGACTACGTTGCTGATCGCCTGGTGTGCAGCATCAATACCATCATCCGTGTCCTCCTCTTCCTCCGCTCCCTTCCCCCGCCTCCCTCCCTCCCTCTTGCTCTCCTTCTTGCTCTCTCCTCCCCCCCCCTCCTCTCTTCCACTCCAACTCCCTCCCCCTCTCTCTCAACTCTGTCGTCTCTCCCTCCTCTCCCTCCCCTCCTCTCCTCCCCGCATGGCAATAGGCACCTGACTGTCGTACTCCGAGTCGTCGAGCTGCAGACACGCGTCGAGCAGGTGGGACAGCACAATGATGTTGGGAGAGGAGATCCGCTGCAGAGCATTCAGGGTGATCCCCACCGACTGACCCGTCCACTCGTCCAGCTGAGTTTGTAGCACCGCAAACTCCAGGCACCTCAGCACCTCGGGCTGGAGAGTCTGCTGGTTGGCAAAGAAGTTGGTCAGGATGCTAATGGCCTGCGTATCGAGGTCGTCGGGGGGTATGGCAAGCAGGACTTTTCCTATAGTGGGGCTAAGGCTGTCGTCCGAATAGCCGAGGCGGACGAATGCGTTGGCTATGTTGCCAATGGACTGCGAGGAGAACTCAACGCCCTGAGCTTCCAGTCTGCGGAGGACGACGGAGAACAACTGGAGCAGCTGATTGTCGCAACTGCCATGGCGCGCGAAGGCGTTGAGGATGTTGCTTACGTCCTTGGCACCGGAAGACCCCTGGAAGCCTGGAGAGATCGCGAGACAGTCAGGGAGGGAGGGAAGGAGGGTGAAGATGGGATAGAAGGAGGGGGCGATGGGTAGAGGAGGAGCGGTGTCAAGTAGAAAAGAAGGCAGGGAAAGGCAGGAAGAAATAGTGTAGTGAAGAAGGAAGGTAGACGATTCAGAGGAAGGGAGGGAGAGGATGGAGGAGAAGAGAGAAATAAGACTGAGATAACAAAACTAGGGAACGAGGGAGGATGACGAGAAGAGGATATCAGAAAGAGAGCAGGAGAGGCATGGAAGGGACGAGACGGACCCTCTTCTCCCATCTCAAGGATCGCTGTTGTCATCCCGCTGAACAAGTCCGGAGGGAAGTAGTTGAGCCTTGCATAACCATTGAGAAAGAGGGCGATGTTCAAACTTCTGCGAACAAGAGATTTTGCGTCAGGGGGTCTAGGATCTGACCTCCCAGTGATCTGACCACGTATCATCAACGTCTGAAATCTTGCTATTTTCTCTCTAGATCCAACAACTACATCTACTTTGTCCCAGTCCTTGTCCCCGTCCTGACTCCTGACTGCTGACTGCTGACTGTTCACTCCTCCTCACCATCATCATCACAATCCCCATCATGCTCCATCGCATTCACCTCATTCCTGGTGGCATGCACTTCCCCAAGATGATTCTCGCAACCTTGGAAAGGACGAGCTCGTCCTTCAACTTAAGTTTTGCCATGGCGTTGATGAGGATCGCAACAGTCCTCTGGTTGTATCCATCCTCGCTCAGCAAGTTTGACCACTGCCAATCTTTCATCTCCTCGTCTGCAACAGAGGAAAAGTCAACTACAGACCAACCACTTCATACTGAGTGCCTGGGATGACATGCGAAAGGATCTTTTGGAGTCTTTTCATACACAATTCGATGACCTCGATCATTCTGGGAAGCCTTTCAAACTTGTCAAGCCGTCGGATGCTGCCTTACCTCTCTTGGTCCAGCCAGTCTTGGTAAACCAGCGAGTTCATCAGCATCGCAATATGCTTGAATTTCAACTTGAAAAGACTCGGTTCAACCTGGAGTGAGTTTGAACTTCAACGGACACACGAAGGGATGTTCAACTCACAATCTCTAGCAAGTGAGAATACAAGTCGACGTATCTTGTCTGCATTGACCTCTTCTTGCCCTGCCATCGCTTCACTCGTCATGCAATAGGTCGAGCGCCAGTTACCATCTGATGTTGCAGCCGTTTCAAGTGCGACATTGCGGAGACGCAGCCAACAATGTTCGGCTCTACATTGCTGGACTCCAAGAGACCGATGAGGTCCTGTAGCCAACGATTACATCCGCTGTTGAGGATAGAGCAGAGCAGAGCAGAGCAGAGCAGAGCAGAGCAGAGCAGAGCAGAGCAGAGCAGAGCAGAGCAGAGCAGAGCAAGTGGATTGGAGGTCAAAGAATGGCAGGAGGTATCACCGAGACAAGAGCGTGAAGGTTCTTGTACTCGCTCATGTTGCTGGGAAGATTGAATCTTCGTAGGTAGATGCTGGTGTGCTCATGATCCGCCTCGTCAGAGCCATCAGCGTCCTCACCATTCTGATAATCGACCCCGATGTCTTTGTTCCCCGATATCCACTCAGTCAGAGACTTGTTCCTTTCGCTCGCATACTTGCTCAAGTCATGGGAAGGGAAGGCATTCATCCAGTCCTCCTCTAGCGCGCTAATCGTCATGACCCCCCCACTCCCTTGGATCATTTTCTTGATCTGAACAAGCGTCCAAGTTTCCGTTCCTTCAAACTCCGAGTCCTTTCTCGTCAGCATCCTGACAGCCACAACAGCAGGAGGCTTCCCGTTGCATCTCACCCGCCATCTTGGACAGCAGGTGTTCTTGACACGAGGACGCAGCACCTCATGGATCGGCGAGTGCATGAAGGCTGGCGGTGCAGTAGCATGATCGCACTGGCTGAACAGAAAGCTCATCCGAGCATCACGGCAGAGATTTCCGCTCTCATGAAGGCGCTCTTTGTGCATCAGCAGCCATGTTCGTCCATGGCATCCGGCATTCTCGTGATGCTGGGAGCTTGTTAGCCTCGTCGCTGCCATGAGCACCGCTCCCAGGACGACTACCATCCTCCCGGCGACCGACATGCGCCCCCAAAGCACTGCATACTACCCCTACCCCTAGGAATCCCAATGCAGGTACCCTACCCTCTCAAGATTTTTTTTGTTTTACGGGGGCTGGGACAAGCCCTCAGCACTCTCGTACTGATCTTTAACTTAACTGGCTTTGAGTAAAGAAAAGGCACTCGGATGAGTCAGCCTGTCCCGAGTCCCGGAGGACCGGGGTGTTGAAGCACCTGATAGGAGCAAGCTTCACCTCAGACAATGCCAAGCAATCGACGTGGCTCAAGTACACAGATGCTTAGCCTCGGAATGCACCCCTGGAGAGGACAGCAACAGCTACAATAAGGACGACGTAGGAGAATCATGAAGAAGACAGCAAGAACCTAGGACTCGCGGATGGCAGCAGGAGATAAGCGAGTCAGCTTATATCAGTCCACGACAGGACAGCAGATGACACGGTGGCAGGATATGACTACGCTCAAGGGGAGATTGGAAGTATCACCCCTGAAGTCATGGACATGGGAGAACAAGGGGTCTGATCAAAGAAGACAGTACTATCATGATCATCTTAGCGGAGGACTTACAAGGAATGCACGAGACCACCTCCAAGCATGACTCTAGCGGAGACACAGGACCTGTCAAGGTCAAGGGAGCAGCTATATCAACTTCACAGAGAGCGTTGGATGGGAATCGAAGACCTCGTCATGTCAAGCCTATGACTCTTTCTCAGGGAACCCTCAAGTTACGGAACCAGGCCTCGGACCGGTCGAAGAATCATATCGCAGATAAAGCATAGAGTACCGGTAGTGGTAGTTCCTAGGACCAGGCAGTCCCTATTTTAGGGACCGACGAAGAGGAAGGAAGGGCCGCTCGCATTTGCAGGACAGGGAAAGGAGAACGAGGTGTATGGTCTCTGTGAGACTGGATTGCTTGAAGTAAACAAGCTTGACCATCTATACCAATCTCTTATCACCTCCGTTTGTTCTCTGTATCCTGATATCATTCCTGCGCGGCCATTGGTCAGTGATAACTATTACCCGGTGACTGCTACAGAAACTTGCAGTCGGTGCTATCACTGTCTACTTCGGGTGTCACTGTCATTGTGTCACCGTCTGGGGAGAGAAGGGTACTGGGAACTTCAACACGGGGCCCGGCCGGAGTGAGGCCGGAAGCCTTTAGTGACTCAAAGTGAAGTGACTCCAGTACGGTCGACTCGAACAAGCTTTCCGGAGTTGTATGAGTAAGTGAGACTGAGCCTAGTAGGAAAGTTAGCCTGAGAGGATAGGTCACGGTGGGAGTCTGGGCCCGAGCGACTCGGACCGTCGGACTTGAACAACCCGGGGGCCCGGGCCAAGTGACTACAGGCCCCGCTCGACTCGAGCCCCACGAGTTTAACTCAGCGATGCTTGTATCCTCTTCACCTCCTCCTCTAGCGCAGTGATCCTCCGCATCCTCTCCTCCTGATTCCCATGGCTGCTGCTGGGCACCAGCACGGTCAGCACCCACCCCAGCACAGCGCAGGGACTTGTCACCTTGCTGTGTCGCGGGTGCCACCCCTGTTGTTCTTGTCCTCCCTGTCCTCCCCCCTTGGCATCGTTTCCCTCAGAATCGAGTCCATCAGGTGTGCATGGTTGTAGTCCTCCGGTCCCACGTGCTTCATCAGGCCCCCTCCCTCCTCCTCCCTCGCCTGAGTCCTCGCAAGCCTGTCGAGGTTCCCAGCTCCCTGTTGGACTGGCTGGCTTGGGATGGGAAAGCTGTGACCGGAAAGATGGAAGAGCCCGGAGTCCATGTGCGGTAGCTCTGGGCGTGAGAAGTGAGAAGTGAGAAGTGAGAAGCAGCAGGAAGAAAGGCATGGGGAGGAGGAGGAGGAGGAGGAGGAGGAGGGGAGAGCGGTGCAGGAGAGCAGAGAAAGGAGGAGGAGGAGGAGGAGATGACAGAGATGAGGAGCACCAGAGAGGAGAGAGGAAGTAGCTAAGGATAGCGAGGGAGCAACCTGGCATGACCGAAGTAGAATTGTTCATCCTCCTGGCATGAGGAGCCATCTGCAACGTCAAGGTCACCGAGGATCACATGACAATGAGGGGGAGGGGAAGAAGGCATGAGTGTATGAGGAGGAGGAGGAGGAGAGGAGGAGGAGAGGAGGAGAGGAGGAGGAGGAGTGGGGATGACAAGAGGGATGACAAGGAGGATACTACAACAATGCAGGACGCAACGCCACCAACCTTCATCTCTAGAGCAGAAGTGCTCCTGAACATCTCGTTGGCATGGCGAGGAGGCCGGGGGAGCGCAGAGAGGTCGTCGTATCCTCCTGCTCCATACCTCCTGTACGCACTCTGCTGCAGCATGCCGTCGTGAACGTAGTCAGAGAGCCCGCCGTCCGACCGGAGCTGCTCCTCCATGTCCCTGGACACCTCCTGGGAGAGCAAGTGGGCCCGGGAGACCCCAGCATGGACCTTGCTGAGCTTCCTCTCGTTCATGGTGACTCTGTAGATGATCTCCTCTAGCTCGCTTGTGAGCTCCTTCAGCACTGTCTTCGTCTCCTGCAGCACCCTCTCCGTGTGGATGCGAGACTGCCGGATGCGCAAGGCCTCCCCAATGAGGTCCTGTCGCTCCTGTTCCCACTGCTGCCGCGTCCTCGCGGCGTTCCCCTCCTGCGAGCTCAGATGCGACTGCCTCTCCCTCAACTGCCCCGCCAGCTTCTCCTTCTCCAGCCTCTCCGCGTCGCTCTCAGCAGCGATCCTCATCCTGTCCTTCTCCACGTCTGCGATCCTCTCCTCGCAGCTCGTCACCTCCTGGTCCAGCGCAATCAGCTGGTCGATCACTGACTTCACTTCCACCAGGAGCGGCTCGATCGGGCTGCTGTCCACCTCGACCGGGGGCCCTTGAGCCTGCAGCTCCTGCAGCTCCGCCCTCCTGATCTCCAGCAGCCTGTTGGACTCTGCGAGCTTCCCCTTAAGAAAGTTCGCCTGCTCCGCCAGCTCTCGATGCAGAGCTCGCTCCTCCTCCACTGGGCTCTTGCCCGGTCCGGTGCTGGACATGCCGCGCATGAACAGGTTCAAGTCCACCTGCAGCCAATCTGCATGGTTGGAATGCTTCTCTGCCGCCTCCACGAGCTCCTTGTAGCTCGTCTTCACCAGCACCCCCAGCTGACTCCCAGCAAGCTCATGCCGCTTCGCTGTCGCGTCCTTGACCATCCTCTCGAGTCGAGCGAAGTAGTCCTCGGTCCCCCGGAGGAGCCTTACTCGGAAGATCTTCCCCTGGGGGAGGGAGCCGCCGTCAGCCATGGCGGTCGAGTTCATGGCAGCCTTCCTGCAAGTCAGCGATAATCCTGAGCCCTGGGGTCCTACTATGAGCTGTACGAGGTTCTCCGTCGTCAGCCCCTCCAGCACTCTGTCGCCGATGGCAAGGACCTGGTCCCCGACCGCGATCGATCCCTCCCGCTCCGCTGACCCCTTGGGCGCGAGCCCGACGACGAAGACGCCGTTGTTGGTGATGTTGAGCAGGAGCCCAACCCCGACCTGCTTCCTCGCGTCGAACACTTGCCGGCGGATCGTCAGCCTTACCGAGCGTCCAGCCGACCGCAGCAGATTGCGGCAGAGAGAGAGGAGGCGTGAGTCGGCGTCTGAATCATCCAGCTTGCGGAGAATGTCCTGGTAGGAGACCCCACGTAGCCATGCAGCCTCGTTGTCTGCAGCGAGCACTTCGTTCTCTGCCCCTTCGAGGATCCTCTGCAAGTTGTAACCGTCTATGTCGGTTATCTCGTCGTTGATTTGAATCAGCCCAGACATCTTCGCCGGCATGCTCGGGGCCATCCCGATCACTATGATCCTGCTGTCTATCTGGGCAAGGACCAGACCAAAGTTCCCGTTCGTGCTCGCCCCTCCGAGCTTCGTCTGGTTGGTCATCCGGACAAGTTCGTCCAGCATGTTGTGTCCATGGGTATGCTGCTGCTGCTGCTGCTGCTGCTGATGCTGCTGATGCTGATGCTGCTGCTGCTGCTGCATTTGACGCTGCTGCTGCTGCTGCTGCTGCTGCTGGGTCGTTTGATGTTGGTGCTGTGGCAGCTGCCGCATCTATAGCAATTTTCAGCTACACATTGAGATGGTTGGATTGGGACATCAGGTTGTGCACCTGATTTCCAACTCCGCTCCAGTCTATGTCAACTCTCGGTCTGGGAGGCAAGTTCTGCTGCTGGAGTCCAGGGTTCTCAAACACCTTCCTGTTGGCGACACCAACATGTTCCTTGCGGCCGCGACGTCAGACACTGTTCACGCCATGCACAAGTAGCCAAGTCACCTCGGATATCAGGGATTCGGCTTCACTGTCGTATGAGTTCCTGCCATGGTGTTTCACATCGAAGGCGGCAGGTCAAAATGTATGGATCACCCGTCAGAGTATTGGTCCGAGTAACGGTACCCGTTCCGATCGCCCCCCTCACCCTCCGAGTATCCTGCCAAGCACAGTCAGTCTGTATCGACTACGGCAGACACAGTCTTCTGTCAGACAGTTGCTTGTCTCCTGACAGTATAGCGCTATCTCAGCAGCTACGGCTCTTCTAGCTGCTTCTTCCCTCACACTGCTCATCTCACCGGTTCCTTGAACATTTGAAACCATAAAACTTGCTACCTCCGTCGATCTCACTTCTCTTGTATCAGCAACATCAGAGCCCTGCCCTCTGTGCTTCCTTTCTCCATGGATTTCAACCCACCCTGGTCTCAGTCAGCCAGTACCAGGAGCGCTACCCGCACAGACCGGCTCGTAGTGGCTGATCATTTCACTGACTGCGAGATGACGCTCGACGACCCACTGCAACCTCTTGCCGCCCGGACCCGGCGCCCCCTCCCCAAGTTCCCAGGCCGGCTCTCCTCCTCTCTGCGATCATCAATTCCTCTATCTCTTAGTCTTCCTCTCCTCTCCTCTCCTCTCCTCTCCTCTCCTCTCCTCTCCTCCCTTCTCAAGCTATCAGCTCACTAGCCTAGTAGCGTCAGTCCCTCCTGAGCCTGTACCTGACGCCATGTCGCCCGGCGGGTCAAGTCAAGGGGGTACCTCTCACTAGGTGTCATAAAAATATGGTGGGGTACTTAATGTACCTCCCAAAAGTCTACGAAATTCAGGTCAAAAATGGGGTGTATAGACCATTTTCATCTTGTAATTGGGGGTAGGGTAATCAGATGAGGGGTCCATGTTGCTCATCAAACCTTGACCCCAAACGACCTACCACCCACCCCTGCTTTCTGCCTCCTTCTTGGGGTGGGTGAGGTGTGCGGTATGAGCTCAATGGTGACGAGGGAGGGGGGGCAAGAGGGGAGGAGGAGATAGGGGGGAGGGGGAGGGGGAGGAGGAGGAGAGGAGTTCGAAGGGAGGAGAAGAGGATAGGAAGTTGATGGTAGCTGGAGTAGGAAGACTTGTTTCATGAAGGATCGACGAAGCTTTTTAGTCGAATGTCGATATTCTCGTACCCGTTGTTGGGTTTCGAGCGTTTGATCCACAAGAAATGTCCAACTTGCATAGCGGTTGTGAGATTAAAGATTTCTCTGCCAGATCTCAGTTGATGTAGACAAACAACAATGACGTACCGAAATGTGGCGCTGACGTATTTCACGCAGGAACATCTAGAGTAGCGACTGTGCCAACATGGCCGAGCAGGAGGAGCAGATCTTCAACTTGACCAACAGAGTGCGAGAGGCTGTCATGCTGATCAATGACATCCAAGAATCAAAACTTGCAATCATGGTTCGCAGGTTAGCGCGGAAGGTTGGGGTAAAAGGCGATGCGTTCACCAAAGAAGAGCTGACTCAGGTCCCCTGGACTGCTCCTGCTTCTCCGAATCCCACTGCTCCTCCTCCACCTCCTCCTGCTGCTCCTCCTGCTCCTGCTCCTGATTCTGCTGCTGCTGCTGCTGCTGCTGCTGCTGCTGCTGCTGCTGCTGCTGCTGCTGCTGCTGCTGCTGCTGCTGCTGCTGCTGCTGCTGCTGCTGCTGCTGCTGCTGCTGCTGCTGCTGCTGCTGCTGCTGCTGCTGCTGCTGCTGCTGCTGCTGCTGCTGCTGCTGCTGCTGCTGCTGCTGCTGCTGCTGCTGTTGCTGCTTCTGCTCCTTAACCTCCACCTGCTCCTGCTCCTCCACCTTCACCACCTCCTGCCGCTCCCTCTCCTTACCTGCTCCTTCTCCACTTCCTTCTGCTTCTCCACGTTCTACTCCTACTGCTCCTGATCTTGCACCTATATCTCCTTCTACTCCTCCATCTCCTCCTCATGCTCCTGCTCCTGTACAACCTCCTTCACCTCCACCTCCTTTTGCTCTTCCTGCTCCTACTGCTCCTGCTCCTTCACCTCCACCTCCTGCTCCTCCCTCCTGTTCCTCCTCTGACATGACTTGACGTACTGTCTATTCAGCTCCAAGAGCATCTGAGCGTCAGTGCGAACGAAATTGACACGATAGTCGAAGCATGTTCGTTCTTCCTGGAACGGAGCGCTTACCACGTCATCAAAGCCGATCTGGTACACGCAAGCGCTGCTTAAGGGTCGGTTGTCACCATCTTCCGACAGCTCTCAGCACATCTCCAGGAGGCAGGGCTGATACCGTCTCACGTACTCCATCTTTGCATCTTGACATGCTGTGTCCTGTCATGAGAGTTTGCGCGACCAGGCGAATGTCTTTGCGGAGATATGGAGCAGCGAAGGGAAAGAAATCCTGCGGTAAGAGGAGCCTTCGCACTGGACCAAAATCCCCAGTTCCAATTGCTCCCTGCTCCCGTTCTCACTCACTCTCTCCTCTGCAGCCGACTCCGCTTGTCGCACAACAGCGGGATGAAGGAACTGATGGTACCGCTACCGTCGTTGATGTCTTCGCTCAAGTTGCTGAGTGGGTTTCAAGGATATTGACTGGCGGATTCACCTCAAGACTGGGACGACAGGGATGACTCGGTCTGCCTGCTGCTGCTGATGCCCCGTTAGTGATTCTGCCCAGCGAGCTCGAGCCTCGAGCGATCTTCAGCTTCAAGTTCAAGGAAGAGAACGATGGCGAGAGTGGAGCAAGGCCGAGAGATGTTAGTGCTTCTGTTTGCTTTCCCTCCCTCCCTCCCTCCCTCCCTCCCTCCCTCCTTGCCTCCGTCCGTCCGTCCGTCCTCCGTCCTCCGTCCTCCGTCCTCTCTCCTCCCACCAACCTTATCCTAGCCCTCCTGGTTCCTGTCCTGGTTTTCTCGGTTTCCCCTTGTCTTCTCTGCTGACGACAGGACTTGGCATGCAGAATGTCAGGCTCGAGTTCCAAGAGGATCAACTGGTCGACTTCCTCCACAAGGTGAGATTTTCTGCTCGGGTGTGGAGGTGCATGATGATAGAAACCAGCTCGACGTGGTTCAATCGCAGCTTGATCTTCTCTCATGATACACTTGTTCCTCTCACTTAGCCCTCGTTCAAACACTGCAAATGAAGACCGTCAATACTGATAAGTTCACTGTGGCATTCATCGGAGCGCCGGCGCTCAGGCCCTGGCTGCCCGGGATACCGGCGGCGGGCGACTCGGCAACGCCGCCCGAGGCCGGCTCCCCACGGTCGCCGTCAGCCTGCCGCGCGGCCGTCACGGTCTGACCGTCCGGGGCCGCGTCATCTCTCAGCCATGCCATGATGACTCAGCGAGGGCCCGGTGTCGCACTCAGCCCGGACCAGGTCCGAGGCTCAGCGCGGCTCGCCCGTCTACTCCGATGGACCGTCCGATCCGGGCTGCGGCAGGCAGTGCCCCGAAGACTCGAGTCCGTGTGGGCATACCGGGACTGAGTCAGTCCGCCCTCCCCCGGGCCCGGCCCGGCCGCATCCGGGACTCCCGGGGACTCAGTGCCAGTCGGACTCCCGGACTCCGGCGGAGTCGGCCGCCGCACCCGGCCGGCGGCCGGGCGGCGGCGACGGTGATCGGACTAGTACTACGGTATCCGGGAGTATCCGGGAGTATCCGGGAGTATCCGGGTCTTTCCGTTGTTCTTTTTACTCCACGGCATGGCGTCGAGGGGGAACACGGGGGCAGCAGGAAGAGGAAGAGGAGGGGGAGCGGGAGCACACGAGCGGATAGACTTCTTGGCGAAGAGCCATGAGCTGAAGACGAACTGCGCGTTCTCTGTGAAGATCATGGAGAACTTCAAGATCAGGTCAGACCATCTACTAGGAGGTAAGAAGGCGTGCATCGCGTGATTTGTTGCATCGATCTGTGGATGAGACGCTATAAGCCTCGATGAGTGATGGTTGAAGACCATAAAATTGTTCTGCGTACCCTGTTGTTAATGTCTTTGTGTGTTTGATTTGCCAGTCTGAGTGAGAGTCAGTAACGCCCTCCTTTCCTTGGGACAGAAATCAAAGCAGACGAGAAGGGAATAGAGGATTACGAAGGGGAAATTCTGAGACTAAAGCAGAGGAAAGAATTCCTAAAGAAGAGGATCGTTCAGAACCAGGAATGGGCGGCGCACTACGACAAAGAGTTCGGCCCTTTTGTTGCAAAGTACGACGAGTTTATGAAGCAGATGGATGTTCTCTACAAGAACGCCAAAGTCAAGCATGCAGATGGTCTGAAGCTTTTGATGGAACACTTTGACTACCATCCTGAGTTCAAGAGGTGACGTAGAGCTCGCGTTCACAGCGCTATTGCTGACTCGCACCTTCGCAGGTGGTCAGACACGTTCTCAGCTGTTCCTTTCAAGCCCATGTAGATGGTGGCGGCGACTATAAGACGAAAATAACGGTGACTGTCGAGAGGAGCATGTCTTCAGAGGTTTTCACCTCAACGTTGACGTGCAAGGAGTATGGTGAGATGAAAAATGCGAGAGGGATGGTGTACAGTAGGAAGGAACATCTAGCATTGAAACTTCAACACTCATTCAGAAGATTGCTAGGAATACAAACAAGAAACAAATTTCCGAGATAAAATGTACACAAGGTGTGCTATCGCTGGGATGATCAGCTTGTCGCCTTTTTCAGCTGCATTCGCTTCTTGGCTGCCTCCAGCCGTCTCTTCCTCAGCTCGTCTGCTCTTGCTCCTGCTGAGCGAGTCTGCTCACTGAGCTCTGACAGAACATCCCCCGCATCTGACTCGCCGACATGCTCCTGTACGACTGACTCGGGCGTGACGTCGATGGCTGCCGCACGCCCCGCGGAGGAAGACGAGGCTTCGACCCACTTCTTTTGCTCGAAATCGACCAAGAATTGCTCCTTGCTGTCCATGTAGCCCTGCGATGCTGGACAAGTGTCAGACGAGCAGTCGGACACGAGAAAGGAGGGGGGAAGGGGCGGAGTGAGCAGAGTGAGTGAGTGAGTGAGTGAGTGAGAGAGAGAGAGAGAGAGAGAGAGAGAGAGAGAGAGAGAGAGAGAGAGAGAGAGAGAGAGAGAGAGAGAGAGAGAGAGTAGATGAGATAGAGGAGCACGAGCTGTGAAAGGGAGGATCGAAGAGCTGGGCAGGAAACACGAAGGTGCAGGGCGAGAGTTTCAGAGAGCAGAATTCGAAGAGGGAGCATGGGAATATAGGATTGTTATAGTTGAAAAACAGACGTTATCTCTCTTCCACCCCTGCCCCCAAATAGTCCCTGATATCTGCCAAGGCAGGGCAGGAAATCGCATCTTGTTGAAGAAATCAATCTGTCGTAATTGACAAGCAGATTGCGTTCTCAATCTCATCCTCACTCCCTTCTACCTCCCTTCACCTTCTTCCTAGACTGGTCTTCTCTTCTCCTCCCTCCTTCTCTCCTCACATCCTCTTCCCGCCTCTTTTCTCCGCCGCATGCTTCAGACTGTGGCCATCAAGAGCACGAGCCTTAACTTCTTCCTATGTGTGCTGGGGGGATGGATAGCATTGATTTTGTACTTGGAAGGTACTTCCTGCCTTCTCTCCTCCCCTCCCCCTCCTCTGCTTCTCTCTCTCTCTCTCTCTCTCTCTCTCTCTCTCTCTCTCTCTCTCTCTCTCTCTCTCTCTCTCTCTCTCTCTCTCTCTCTCTCTCTCTCTCTCTCTCTCTCTC